GAGTTGCCGCGCGGCGCGGAGCGGAGGCGGGCGGAGAGCGGCGGCGCGCGGGGTCCCCCCGGCACAGACCTCCGCGCGCCCCCGCCGCCATGCAGAGGTGCGGGGGGTGCAGAGCAGCGACCCCCGCAGTGTGTGGGGGGGGGGCAGCGCGGGAGAGCCGCGTGGTGCCCGCGGGAGCGCGCGCGCGCGCGGCCGCGCAGGGGGGTGCGCGGGTCCCCGCCGAGGCGGGAGGGATCGAGAATCCCGGGGGGGCTGCGCGGGCCGGGGGATGCGGGGGATGCAGCCCCCAGCGCCCGTCACCGTCGCGTCGTGCCCTCCTCCCCCGGTTATTCCATCCCTTTAATCCCACGTCTCGTTACCGGGGGGGGGGGCAGGACCCCTGCTCTTCCCGGCCCGGCGCTGCTCTTGTTCGTGCTCCCAACTCCCACCAATCCGGCAGGGCAGAATAGCACTTCTAACCGCTTCCCTTCTTAACCAATAAATATGTAACTAACATGTAATTAACATGCAGTTATTCCCAAGTTATTTCCCTGCGATTTCTCACCAATACTGGAAGCCATTGCAGCGTGAGGAGGGTTTCTGCACCCTTCTGGCCTCAGAGTTGGTGCAGCCAGAAGCTTCCATGAGTACTTACTTATTTATTTACATATATATTTATTGTTCTTGCCCTGTGTTTCCCCAGGAAGCACCTCCAGGAAATCCCGTCCTCCAGCAGCAATGTCTGCAGCAGCTTCACGTGGGACTGGGACTCCAGCAAGACGTCGGAGCTGCTCTCGGGCATGGGGGTGTCCGTGCTCAAGAAGGACAAGCTGGGCAACGAGAACACGCCGCAGGAGCTGCTGCTCTCGCCCTGCCCTCCGCACAAGCGCCAGAAGGTCAAGGAGAAGGAGAGGGACTTTGTGATCGCGCGCCGGCCCCGGCTGCTCCGCGACGCAGAGCCAGGTAGGGCCGTCCGGCCACGTTGCTTTGGCCTGGCAGAGCCAGGGATGGTCCCCGCGGGACACGGTCACCACCGTGCACGTGTTAAGGAGTATTTTGTGCTGCTCAGTTCTGAGCTGTGTGAAATGTCACCTTGGACTCTCTTCTGGGAGCCTTGTGTGCGGATAGGATGGGCACTTTAGGGAAAGAAGAGGCCCCAAATTTCTGAAGCTGCCTTTTTGACTTGTCTTTCCCTCCTTCAGTCTACAAGGCTGAAGGAGAATTACCGAGGAAGCAATGGAGATGCTCTTGCCTCCCAATGGAGGATGTGAATGAAGACTGTAGTTGTTTTTCAGAAAAAAAAAAATCCATACCTTTGGGATATATATGCATCAAGTTGATGCTGTGGAAGTTCTGCTTTTGCCTGTTACACCTACTCAAAAATGGTCATAATGTCTTCCTATAATGAAGACATGAAAGGGGACTAAGCAGTGGTTGGGTGTATGTATAGCCTAGGGAGGATATTGTAGTGTTTACTGAGCATATAACCACAAAGCCAAAAAGGCATCTGATCAGCAGGCCAAAATGAGCCRGCTCTAACTAGAACATGTTCGTTCATTCTTTCCTTCAAGGTGTTTCCTGGGATGCGCTTCCAGATGAGCTGCTATTGGCAATCTTTGCATATTTGCCCCTAAACGACCTGTTAAAAGTTTCCCTGATTTGCAAGAGATGGCGTCGCCTCTCGTAAGTATTGTCTGGTGCTAAGAGCTTTGCCTCCAGAGATTGTTAAGTGGTCTGGTTCCTGACTTGTATTTTCATGTATAATTCAGTTGATACTGCATGTGGCTTATATGTATGTATTTTAAGAGATGACTCAAATATTCTAGCATTAATAAATTCTCTTGAATGGGTTTAATGTGCTTTTCCTCAGTCTTTGTGCTGTTGAAGGCTTTCTGTTGTGCTTGTAGTTCTGCCTCTGGGTTATTCTCACCAACACGTGTGATTCTGTGCCCTAGGTTTGATGAATCCCTCTGGCAGACTCTGGATCTGACTGGCAGGAATCTGCTGCCGGGAGTCATCGGGCAGCTGCTGCCTGCGGGCGTTACTGTTTTCCGCTGCCCAAGATCCTGTATTGGGAATCCACTGTTTAAAAGCAGCAAGTAAGGTTTGCTCCATGTTCTGGATCCTGAAATCAATAATCTCATATAGTCTTCACTAAATTCTGTGTGGTTTTGGTTAAAATCCAAGTAGTAGCATTTATGATGTCTTTGTAGTGTGGCAGAGCCAATCACTGTTTAGGCATGTGTTGCAATAAGAGGATTTGTATTCATCAGTAAATTATTTAAAAGCAAGTTAATGTAGTTTTTGAAAGCATAATATGAGCACCATCACTCACTTGGAATTTATTTATTTTAGAAGTGAGAATTGTCAGACACCTTCATAGGTGATGTTTAAAGAAATGGTTTCAGTCCAGCAGGATAGACTTGCAGCTCTTGTGATGAATCTTACATTTATTCACATTAAAGCCAAGAGTTCAGCAGCTTTGGTTAGTAGCTCAGTAGACGATCTACTGGGCTTGGGTTAAGTAGCAATATTCATATAAGGTACAACTGCAGAATTATTTTCTGCAGGCTTTGCACACATTTGTCTTAGTTAGATGCACTGTTTGGAATTTGAGGGTTGGTTTTTAATTTATTTCTAGTAATCTACTTTTCTCCTTTTCAGACCACTCAGGGTTCARCATATGGATTTGTCGAACTGCACGGTGTCTGTTGCAGATCTGCAGAGCATCCTCTGTCGATGTGAGAGGCTGCAGAACCTGAGCCTGGAAGGGCTGGTTCTTTCTGATGACATTATCAAGTGAGTGGCATATCAGAAATGTTCAATAAATATTTTCTGTTTGGTACCACTGTTTTGTGCAGCGTGAAATTATGTAGTTGYGTGTGAAATTACGTAGTTGAGTGTTGTGCACTGTGGGAGTCTTTTACTATGCTTGTTTTTTGGCAAGTAACAGAATTAGCTGTTAGTTTTATTCTGCCATGTCTGCACTCCCAGAGTACATGTGCCCCTATCTATTTGAAGAGGTCCCAGCAACTGCTGCACAAGGTGCTCTGCACCACTTACAGAGCGAGGATTTGAGAAATGGGGTGATTACTCTGTCTTTTTGAGAGTTATAGCCACTTCTGATAAGACATGGGGTTTGTTCATTGGCTTACAACAGCARAAGGTGAAAAGAAATTATGTTTCTTTTYACACTTAGCAGTAAATATGGAAACTTACCAGGGTCATCAGTTAAATGGGCAGCTGTTGCTTCCCAGGCTGTGCTGTGCTGTGAGCCCAAATCCTTACTGACTCTAAGGTTGATCAGTTTAATGAGGATAGTGTTGCATGTTTAACAAATTATTCTGAGCCTGGAAGCTTAGCTTTTAACATCCTAGCAATGCAAGCGATGTCCCGACACTTACATTTCACCTGACTTTTCTTTCTTCTTCCCTACAGGAGCATTGCTCAGAATCCCAGTTTGATACGACTAAATCTCTGTGGGTGCTCAGGGTTCTCTGCAGAAGCTCTGGAGTTGATGTTGAGAAGCTGTTCTGAGTAAGACAAAAACTTTTTGCTATTCCTGCTTACTGCTGTTCCTAGCTGTAAGCTTCTCTATTCTTTTTTTCTTTTTTCCTATTTTTTTTTTGTTGATTGGGCTCCCCCATTGTGCTTGTCTCTTTGGAACCTGTTGTGTTCCCAAACGCCGAACAGTTTGTTTTTAGCAAGCAATAAGTCTGTTTTCTTTAACAGCAAAAAGAAAGTCCTGTTGGCAGATACAAGGCATCTACGCACTTTTGATTATGTTCCARATTTGATTTTTCTTAATGAAAGCAGTATGTCGTCCTTGCAAAGTGGAAGAGTGTGTTTTGCAGCTCTAAAGTGAGATCTCCCTTTATAAGCAGAGCACAGTGTGGATGACAGAAAAAATCATGTCATTCCATCCATGCTAAAATAATCCTTCAATAACCTATACTGACCTTCTGCTTTATGAAGTACTTGGGTTCCGATTGACAGCTCCAGTGATTAAAACATCTGCTCTCAGGAAGTCATTGAACTGAGCCCTAACAGATCTGGGATTTATATTTTGGTCTTTCTGCTGACTTCCTGTGGGTTGCTAGACAAACTACTTAATCGTTGCTTCTGCAARAACATGTTTTTAATCAAACTGCTGCAAGTTTGTGGGCAGACAAAGCCTTAATCTCTCTCTGCCTCGCCTCATGGGCAGATAATGCTTTCTATTGCTTGGTCTGATTACTTGGATCTAAGCTCTTTAGGGAATGGCTGTCTCTGTACAGTGCATAACAGTCAGAAAAACTGAGCTGGGCTAGGAATGCTGGTGGCAATGTGGGCTCATTTCATTACCAACGGAACAGAACCCGTGCAGTGTGTGTATGGATTGGCTTCACCACTGTGTGTCCTCCCGGGATATTCGGTGCTTTAATAACCTCAGTACTTTAATCATTTTTGTGTGTGTGTGTGTTTGTGTTTATATAGAGACTGCCAGCTAGAGGCTCTGGTTGTGCTTCGCTATGTCCATACACTCTGGTTACATCAACAGTACCTGCACGCACACAAAACCACAAGCATGAAAAATAAAACTTTTTTCCTGTCCCTGAGTAGTGATAATCTATAGGTATGAAATATATGAATAGAGTTAGGGTCACAACATGGCCTGTGCTTACATAAAACTAAAATATGCCACTGGACTGACACTACTTATGGCTAGCCGGTGGTATTTTACCCTCCTTTTTTTTTGTCTACCTAAATGTGAATGCTTATTCAGTAGTACCAGAGTCAACTCACCAACCAGAAACAAGATTAAAGACCATCTCTCCTTCTGGCAGCCTCCTGAGATGACTATTTCACATCCTAAAATATCATGGAATCATCCAGGTTAGAAAGGGGCCTTGGGAGGCCACTTCTACCTGCTGCTCGGAGCTAGGTCTGAATTCAGCACCAGCCAGGTTGCTTGAGGCTTTCTGTGATCTAGTCATGAAACTTTCCAAGGACAGAGATTCTACMGCCTTTCTGTGCAACCTGCTCCAAAACCTAATTATTGTAAGAGTGAAATATGTACTCGTTAATAGCTGTTTGGTAGTAGCTATATTACAGTKTGAGATCTGATATTTATCTAATTCAATGATACTTTTAACGCAACAACTTCTGTTTCATTCATGCTCTGTTMATTTTTGTATAGATTGGAGGAGCTGAACTTGTCCTGGTGTGACTTCACTGCCGCCCACGTGAAAGCAGCAGTCACTCATGTTACTTCAAAAGTAACCCAATTAAACTTAAGTGGCTACAGACAGAATCTGCAGATATCAGGTAAAGAGCAGCATTTATCTTATTATGGGGGAAAAGATATATTGTGTTTTAAGTATCTGCTCATTTATTGAGCTAAATGGCAAAACAGGCTTCTTTATTCTAGTTGACATCTGCTGTAATAGAAATATGATGCAGTCAGAATGATCTTTTGCTTGTGATATTCTTGCTGTCACAGAATCTTACTGCTCTACCATGAGGCAGATAATTTRTCTATGGATTTAAAAACAGGTGGGTGAAAGCTTGTTTGTTCTTCAGTTGGAGGTGTAGCCCACAAATAAAGCAGGTCCTGCAAGCAGGATCCATTGGGCCAGCATTCCACTGGGTCAGCGTTCCACTATGGACTGTGTGTCAGTCCTCTGGATATATGGGAGAGAGTTTAGTTCTTGGAGCCTTCTTGAATTAACATTTCTGCTTTTGTGGTTGCTAAAAGTCTTCTGAGAGTGAACAGATGGAATAGCTACTGTTCTTTCAGTTTAGCATGATGTCCTATAGAAAACATTTTTGTTATGAGTTAGTTTGGTAGTATATCGATTGGAAAAGCCCAATAATCTCTTTTGCTTCCTGTTGCTTTTAGGAGCCTAAGTAGATAAAAGATGCTATGTCTTAGAAAACGTATAGAAATCAAGCTGGGGAAAGGACACAGCAAAATGGACAAAAACACAGATACAGGATGAGAGCGCTTTGGTGGTAAAGCAAAATGAATTATCTCAATGAGCCAAGTGACAATAGGGCATTGAGTGACCAGCAGTGAAGTTTCTATATGGAGGTTGTGATCTCCCTTTGATCTCTTTAAATGGCATAAAGACCTCACTACTTCCCCTCCCATCACAGGGAAATCCACCTTTCTGCTTTGGACCTCTGCCTCAAAGCTGTACACAAACATACCAGCTAATCTCCTCCAAATCACCTGGCACCTTTGCCAAGGTCTTGATTATTGAGGAGACTGTKTGGTCTTTTTTTGAAGTGTTCTGAAGGTATCTGAAGTATTGAGAATTTCTGTTACAGAAGTAGCTTTCACTGTATGTAAGATACTTCAGGTATCTCAGTACAACTTTGTCTAAYAGATTACAGTAGCAATATTTGAATTATTTGCTTGCTATGTTTCTTATGCAGCAGATTCTGAGTACAGTTATTTGGGCGAATTCAGTCTGTTTGGCTGAAGGATTAAAAACAATCCCTATGCAGTATCTCGGCAGGTATATATTCTGTCCTAAGGCTACAGTATGAATCTCTTTGATTAAAAAAATAATTTCAGATTTTGGGTTCTAGTAGAGAAGCTATAAATGAATGTAAATAGAACTGAGTGTTTCAAGCTGCATATAAACCATGTACTGAAAAAGGCACTGACTCCGTGCAATCTCTTTTCAGATGTTAAGACTCTGGTGGAAAGATGCCCCTCTATTGTCCACTTAGATCTAAGGTAAGAGGCCTTACGCAGCTGGTATTTAACACCTTGTGGTTCAGGGGATTTCTCATTCTACTGCTGAGCAGTAGCTAGAGCAATAATGCATAGTGAGTAGGATTGCACAACCATAAAATAATTTCTTAGCTAAACCTACAGAGGATTTCCTGCTTTGCATAAATTTTGGAAATACCAAATTTATTGCTAAATTTATTGTGATTAAAATCCAACCTCTAATTTATGTGCTCTCGTGTGTGCAGTGACAGCGTGATGTTGAAGCCCGAGTGCTTCCAGTATTTTCATCAACTCATCTTCCTGCAGCACCTGTGTCTTAGCCGATGTTACCAGATATCGCCCGCTGCCTTAGTGTAAGTAATGTTACAGAGGCCTTGGCTCACTGTACATAGAGAAGGCACATAAACCCAACCTACTTCATTTAGGCTTAAAAATGGCAAGTACCGTTTYGAAAATCTTACTGGGGTGGGGAATTAGGGATAAAAGACTGGGATAAAATAACTTGACTACCAGGGCTTGTCCCTTCCAGAATCGAGACTGGAACCAGAGGTGGCTGAGACTGTTTTTGTGATGTGAGTTAACAGGCATGAAACTCCCTACTCAGTCTGCATCGTGTTTTCCCTTGGTGGCATCGTAACAAGGGCGTTTTATTCCTCTCAGGCAGAGCTGGAGGTTCCAGTCCTGCCAGTGACCAGTATTAGTGTCAGTGTTATGCAGCTGCATGTGGGTGTAATTCAGGTGCTCAGGTGAGGAGGTGCAAGCTTCGGGGGGAAGCCTTGTTGGTCAAATATGTTTCAATACAACCCTGAATTATGGAGCAAAGAAAAAGGCTTTTTTTTTCCTTTGGAGAAGTTAATAGGGTGGCTAGTACTCACTGAACAGCTATTCTGCATGCAGCCCCCTGCCTTTGTTATCAGTTAGTGACTGCCACTGAAACCTAGATTTAGAGTTACTTGCTTGTGGGGAAGCAGGACTTTGCAGCAGGAGGGTGCACCTTCCGGAGCTCCTCCAAACTGCCTTCTGCTCTGCACTTCCTTCCTGTTTCTCTTCCCCCAGCTGCTCAGTGTCTTTTCCACCCTGCCTAGCAGTTCTTCTTMGTGAATTTTGTGAGGTTTCTTACATGCAGTTCTCATCATTATTAGGGTCTGTCCTACATTTCTCTGGCCATCCTTTCATCCTTCTCTTACTGACTTTTGAGGTTGAGATCTTGCACAGCTGAAGATTGCTTCATGTGCAAGGGACTGCAGAAATGGCTACAACTGGCCAAGGACAGTGACATTATTCCAGCTGGAGATCTCCAGCTGTATCTCCAAGGATCCTCTAGAGGTTAAGAAGGTTACAGAAATGCCCTCATCTAGAAGCAAGAATATTCAGCATGCAGTAACAGTGTAGTGAAGTGGTTTCAGAATAATCATCAGAAAGGATGTTTACAGTCCTGTTTTTGTTAGTGTGTTTGGTGTTTTGGAGGTTTGGTTTTGTAGGCAGAGAGACTTTCTTTCCTTCTTTTCTTGCATTTTTAATCTCCCTGAGATCAAGGCAGGAAGACTGGAAAAGCTTATTGTGCCCTAATAGCTCGGTAAATATTTTTTAACAGCGCTGTGGAAGAGGATTAGGTAACAGAGCTCAAGGAGTTATAAAACCCAGATTATTTACTTGGTGGAACTGAGCTCTTACAGCTTTTGGGGACTCTGGGCAAGGATGTCAGTATTACAGAAATGATTAACAATATAATTAACAATTATTTCCCCCACCAAAAAATAAGACTATCAAAATGAGAATGCAAAGAATCTTCACTGGGACCCCGTGTGTCATGGTGATAATTTGTGTACCCTGTATCTTTGCCTTCTGATTCCATCCTGCAGTTGCTTAGCCATTCATACACAGTTCACGTGCTTACTGGGCAAGCGTTAAGCAGTGAAGAAGCCAGGGCTGGCTGCATATCAAAACATCGTGACAAACTGTCAAGTTAGAGATTGACAGGCACCCGTGGCTTGGCTACTCTGTGTTGAAATTTAATCTGGCTCAATTCCTTCCACTTGCTCCAAACATTTGCATCTGGGGAAATGAAAGAGGAAGAGCCTGTTTGTTTTAATTGTGTGCAAGAGAGAACAGCAAGAAGTGCTGGGTTCAACGTCCTACTTAAATGACCATTAAATAGGATAGTACTTGTACAACTCATACTTTTTATTCTTCGCTTTTCTATTTTGAGGGAGCAGCTTAGCAATTACATTAATTTTCCTGATACCAAGTAGCTACTTGCCTTGTTTTGAAAAATTTAGGTTAAATGATTTAAGATTAATTTAGTTAAGTTTTACGTAGGTTGGGTATAGATTACAAAAAACAAAACCAGTTGCTAACTTACTGCCTTTTTGTTGTTGTTTCTAGAGAACTTGGTGAAATTCCTTCTTTAAAGACTCTTCAGGTATTTGGAATAGTGACTGATAACTCCCTGCAGATTCTCAAGGAAACACTTCCTGACCTGAAGATCAATTGTTCACACTTCACAACCATCGCAAGACCAACTATTGGCAATAAAAAGAACCATGAAATTTGGGGCATCAAATGCAGATTGACACTGAGAAATTCTAGCAGCTTATGATCATGATTGCCTGGATGCTATGGACATGGCTGGGTGTAGCGAGGCTCTTTGACAAGGCAGAGTGCTGGAGTACCTTTAATCTTTGGTCTTGTGCCTTAATGTAGTTTCATAAATATTTTTACTGTTTATTTTTTTTGTTACTTAAAGCCTTTAGATATCTTAGGAGCTGTGGGAAGTGTAGAGATTTCTCTTTTAAAACCCTTTCTAGGACAGCTTTTTAAAATATTTGTGAAAAATCATAATTAAGCTGTGTCAGTCTCTGGTGACTGTTGCAGGTTCTGATGCAGCTCTTTGCTCTAATATTTCTTTCTCTCTTCCAACTCTCTTACTCTTGAAGGCTGGCAGTGCTGCTAGATACTTAACAAGGCTCATTAGGGAATTGTCTTGGTCTAGATTTGCAGAGCTCAAACTGATTGAGGATATTAAACCTATCCAAGGTGCTAACTGAACAAGGCTTTAACAACACGGTTGTATGAGACACTACTGCAGTTTGTGAGGACAGAAGAGGCTCCAGCTGCTGACTTTGTGGAAAGCAGCAGGAGAGCGTGATAGGGATTTCACTACAAACGCAGCCAGGAGGCAGCTGAGCAGTGTTAAGGGAGCTACAGTGCCACCTTTCCCAGGCCCCAGAAGTAACTTCTATTTTTATTATTGCTGGTTGATAGCAAGGTGTAAAACATGATAGCCACCATCTGCTTTTACAATGTTAATTAGAAATGGGTTTCATTTTTTTCCATGTAGTTTTGCCAGATTTTCTGTTACTGAAACTTAATGTAGTTTTTGTCTGAATTGGGAAATGTTATCTCTTGTCAGATAAAATTTCATAGAAACAATACTGTATTTTCCTTAATGAATAAGATCTTAACACTGTGATCAATGGAACTACTCCTGGAGGAAGGAGCACTAATATAGTTCTTCATCTCAGACCAACAACAAACCCATACCCAGGACTGCAGCATGAAAAAGCAGAGGAAGAAATCCTCTGGTGCTATTGAGGGACATCCCTTCTTCTAATAGCTTCAAGTGCTCTATCATCCCACTTACTGTAATGTAAGCCAGCACTGTTTTTAGTTTTTGTTGTTTTCTGTTTCTAATTAAAGGGGCAGACATGAAAAGCTAAATAACTGTTTGAGAAACAAAAATCTAAAGGGACAGTCAATTCCATCAAATGAAACTTTGATCTAGCTCCATCAGCAGTGTCTTTCTGCATGAGCTCGGCGCATTTCAGCACACAGAAAGATGAGTTTCCTGGCACAAAATGTGCATCTTTCAACCACTGGTACAACACAAATACACTGTCCTCATTCCAGTGACTCCATGAAGCAAGTGGTAAGTTTATTCATGGATAGTTGAGGTGAGCTATGGTGAGAATGGGTAGAGGGACAGAGCTTGTGCTTCTTACAAAAAAGAAGTTATGGGCAAACTCTCCTGTGAAAGTTGGAATGGGAGCTTGAAGGAATCAGTAGTAATTTGAAGACTATTGGACATTCTACTATTTCACTTAAACTACTTACCAAGAGGGAAACCAAACCAAAAATAAAAAAAAACCCACAAAACCAAACCACTGGACAGTTTGAGCTGCAGCACAACACAACTATAAATTCTCCTTCAGCACAATGTAACTGCATTTCTTGCATTTAAATAAAGACCTACAAAAATACTAGACTGTATCTGTAATGACTGGGGCAGGGGGAGAATGTTTTTCTAATCTGGCACCAACTTTGGGGCATATGTAAGAAARAACAGTAAACAATGATGGCTTAAGAATAAAGGGTGGGAAGGGTAACATTACCAATACGTTGAGTTATTAAATAACTACCTCACTTAAAGACGTAACTGGTATAGTACTGTGGCTTTTGCTTTTAAAACATTTTTTGAAATAAACTGAATGGTGGCAGAAAAGCAACATCTGTATTGTGGGTTTAGCAGCTATGATGGTGGCTGCTGCAGACATAATGCAAATCCTCTGGCTAAGCTGCAGTACTGACCTTTTTCTAACTGAAGAACGTGATACTGGGTAATCACTGGCAAACAGTAGTGAACTCTACCACAAAGACATATTAAATAAATCTCTGAATTTCATCTGCAGAGAGAGAAAGCATGTAGACACTATTATAGAAAAAAATGCATCACAAGTTAAAGGCAGCGGAATATACTGTACATTTTCAAGTAAGGCACAGGACTATTTCAAACATCCATTATGCTTTAATTTTATTACATAATGTATAAACACCACTTTAAAAAAGCCAACAGTGACAGGTTTATTTTAGCAGAACACAGAAGTATGAACTGGCACTAACCAGTAGGTAGGATACAGACAGAATTGATTGCCAGACCAGACAGATTAAATCAGTGTTAAACAAATACTTGGTCATACCACAAAACACTGTCTACCACGTAAATTGTCTGTACTGTATTCCTTTGTAATAAAGGATTCTTAAAAAGAATTTCATGGTTCTTTATTAAAAGCTACCCCTGCTTACTGATTACCTATTATAGATCTCTGACCCATGCTAGGTATTTAAATCAAGCACTCACCTGTAAATGCTTCCACAGAAGTGCAATAAAATACAGACACAAAACCAGTGGAGGCCACTCATGAAGAGGTGGTGTTTCCATTTCACTACATGGTGATCAGGAATTTAAAGGTGAAGTTTCTTACTAAACCCTTAGATCATACTTAGGGTCTATTGGTCTTAGGGGGGAAAAGAAAAAAAAAACAAGAAACCTCTGTCTTTTAGTCTCTGCATTCAGAATAAGGAACGAGAGGTTTAAGAGGATGACACCCTCTCAGTCTCCATTTAAACATTACAGCGCACACATGTCTGAGTACGGAACAGGACTTCTACCATACATTTTAATCCATGTAGGTATTCAAGGACACTTTAAACATATGAATATTTAATCCCAAATAAGCCTCTAACAGTTACTGGCAAAGTCCTAGGAAGTAATAAATTCATTTCACTGGCTTGTTTTTCTTAAACAGCATAATGACTAGTATGCTGCACAGAGGCACATAAAGCATCATGGATTAGGAATAACTAATCCTCTCGTTTCAGTGCAACCCACTTTCTAAAGAAGGATTAGTCTTTCACATTTTTACCTTTAGAGTCATTTTAAAGATTACTTTAGATATAGAGATTTGCAGTTTCCTGAATTTAAAAATTTCTGAAGAATATCAGAGTACTTTGATTTTCCCCTTCACATTTACAGTCCAGGCAACTCAAGCTGCTATTGTAAATCACACTTCAATCCTTAGCACACTTTGAAGATGAAGTGTGCACAAAACAGTGATAGCTTATTGGAAGGCTGTATCAGTATCAGATTTTTCTAGAATTCAATGGTCTTGCCAAATCCTTCTGAACTCTGAAACAGACTTAATTCTGGAGAAAAAAGTAAGTATTGGAAGGGAAAAATCTGCTGTCCACTTTCTCCACCTTTAAAAAGATCAGTTTACCTTTCTGTCATTGGCAACAAACACACTGGCCACACTGGAGAATACCTCCATCAGACCTGAGAAGATCTGTCACAGAAGCTTCTTCACTCAGAAGTATTTTGAGGAAATCTGCCCTTTGGAAACCGATCTGTAGTAAACAAAAAGTTCTTTCAAGTCAGATACCTGCAGAGTTTGAGCTGTAGAAAACTCCTTTTCTCAAATTCCACCCTCTCCTCTATGCACTGATCAGCATGAACTTCCACAGGCAAAGTTCACAGTTTCTCTAAAAATATTATTTAAAAGTCACTTTCCCTTTTATAATCACAGAACTTATCTTTTACCTGTATTAAAAACTTGTTTATTCAGCTAACACCCAATTAAAAGCTGATGACATTAGCTATAATTTGCCACCAATTGAACCTGGAGAGTTCAGCAGGGGATTGGGAAAGGAAACATTTCCCGGGGTAGTTCAAAACTCAGACTTGGAAGATAGGGAAACACGTTGGTGTCAGCCTGCACTCCAACCACGAGCACTTTGCACGTCTCATTCTTCTGTCATGATAAAGCAGCTCAGAAGCTGAAATTCCAAACCATTTCATTTACTAAGGCCTTTCTTTAGTGATAGCTACCTACATAAACTAGTGTGTCTGAACATCTGCAAACCAGTTACTCCACTCAGGGGAGGAGCATACCTTACTACCATAATTATCATAATACCCTTTTTATAGTTAATGTACTCCTGTTAAAAGGTCTTAAGATCATGCCTAGGTTTCAAGTCTCCTGCTATCCAAACAGCAAAGGTGAKAGCCAATTCCTTCAGGATGTGAACAGAGCTTCTAGAAACTAAACCAGACAAAAGTTTTAATGCAAATCTATACAGTAGGAAAAAAAAATACTGGAAGAGCCAAAAGAGCCGTCATAAGTCATATGAAAACTACAAAGTCGAAACCATTTTGAAAAGCATATAAAAACTTCATATTTCCTTTGTTGTTAGTTCAGTATCAGAATTTACCAAAATCTATGCATCCTTGCATCAAGTCACTCAATCTTAACAGTCAGCTTGTCTACAAAAGTATTTGTATGACAGTGTTTAGTTTCATCAGTCCCAGACTGCTATTAAAAAAACTGTACATGTGAATATTTAATGCTACTGACTTCATATTTAAACCCATCTACCCAAGTTTAAAAAGATGCTCTTTCATGTTTGCCTTACAGGTTAGAAGCGTCAATTTTCACTGAAGTTGTAAGTAAGACTTCAGATACATTTCTTTTAGACCAGATGCAAACCAGCCTAAGTATCAGCTTTCTAAGATTTCCCAATGCCAAGGAATGAAAAGGGTCTCAAGCTTCTTTCAAATAATCTTGCATCCAAAAAAGCTAACTTCCAACTTAATGCAGCCAGGTGACACGCTGCTCATCTCCAGGAGTTCCCTCTCTGGATCCAGAACTGCTTCCACAGAAGACACATGACGGTCCTTCACTCTTCCAGCAGAACAGTGCACAGTGCGTCCTCCGTATCAATCCATATTGAAGCTATCGCCCCATCATTAAACTCAAAGGATGTTCCTCCATCTACAACCATACATGCATCCCAACAGCGGGAACGGACACAGATTCTGGGGGGGGCGGGAAATAAAAAAAACAAAGAAAAAGAAAAAAGTTCTCAGTAAACAGTGCAAGTCTTGAGCTATTTCACCCCAGCACTTCCTTGAATATGCGGGCTGGTTCTCAGGCATTTCCTTGGATGGGTGGGTGAACCCTCAGTCATCCAGGATCTTCCAGCACAAACACTATTTGCTCAGCACTTAGACACACAAGAATTCAACAGTCTACTATGTATTGGCATCTTCCGGCATTATCAGGGCTCTGCAGAGTTATAGCGAAGTGTAGAGCAGACTGAAAATATTTTACATTTATTCAGCACAGTTCTAATGTATAATTTTAAATGGTAACAGTTTCAACCACCAACACTAGAGATTTCCAGGTAATTTGTGTATTAATATATTCTACTTTGTTACATGAAACATTCATAGAGGAGAGAAAGTCATTTCAAACAGGAAACTGAAGGTCAAAATTGAAGAACGCTTGCCAGGCAGTACCATAAATAGGTATGGCAACACACTCCTGTCAATATTAAATGAGTTTGGCAGATCTTTCTCTATTTAAGTAGTTAATGCATTTTAAGGCAGCTCTTCTACTACTGGGCAAACCAGAGTAAAGCTATTCTTCTTCACTTACCTTTAAAAGGAAAATGAACTGAAATGTTGGCCTTTATCCTTTCAAATACAYAAAAAGGTAGAAGCAATATTAAATATTGAGCTCTCCACATTTTTTTTTTTTTTCATGCTACTAGATTGGAATCTGTGGTGATGCCAGAGCAAGTGTAAGACTTCAGTCACACATGGATGGGCTTGACTGTTCCTGTTCTTGCTCTACACTCACGATGTTGATCTCCAAAATTTAAATTCATCTATTATTTAATGACTTAAATTTCATGGATGAATCTATTACAAATATAAGAGCTTCACAGAATCACAGAATCAGAATATTCAAGGTTGGAAGGGACCTCTAGAGATCATCTAGTCCAACCTTCCYGCTCAAGCAGGCACACCTAGAGCATGTGGCACAGGGYGGCATCCAGGCAGGTTTTGAAGACCTCCAGAGAAGGAGACTCCACAGCCTCCCTGGGCAGCCTGTTCCAGGTCTCTGTCACCCTCACAGTAAAGAAGTTCCTCCTCACTTGGAGACGGAACTTCCTGTGCTCCAGCTTATGGCCATTACCCCTCGTCCTGTCGCTGGCCACCAGCGAAAACAGCCTGTCCCCTTCCTCCCTGCATTCTCATAGCTTGTAGCTATGGCCATAATTTTAAAGGTTAAGGGTGCTCATTGTTCTCACATCACATTAAGGCGGCACCATCCAGCAACATGCATCCTCACTACTGGGTTAGCACAGGTCCTTGCAACCACGACTACTTCTTTACTTTCCCTACATTTAATTAAGAAGCAGGGATTCAGTTGCATTTTGCTGAATAACATGAATCCCAGACATCTTACTCAAAACTGCCTTCCTGCAGGTTACAAAAATAGCCCTTTCTGAAGAAATAAATAAATAAATTTAAGTAGCATTTCAAAATTTAATTATAGATTTATATTGACGTGAGCCACATCTCACACACTAGGTTAATATTGAAACACCATAGTGTTCTTAACTTCCACAATATTTGCACCTACAGTGTTCATATTTACTTATGACAAATTCTGTAATAATTTAGTCCTTCTAATTTGGGTTACTTATGTAATAGTATAGATTACAAGGGACACCTAGTCCAATCTTCCACTCAAAGCAGGACTTACTTCAAAAGGAGATTAGGTTGTGTAGGGTTGCCCTGTCAAGGTCTTCAATATCTCCATGGCTGCAGACACAACAATCTCTAGGCAGTCTATGGCCATGTCTGACTTTTCTGAAAACTTTTTTCCTTATATTTGGTTAGAATTTTAAAACCTACACATCATGGCTGTTGCCTCCTAGCAYTTTTGCTGTGCGCACCTGAAAGGCATCTAACTCAGTCTCATCTGTAACCATCCAGGAGGTACAAGAAAATAGCTGTTACATTTCCCCTGCTTAGCCTTCTCTTCTGCAGGCTAAACAAAACTAGATCCCTGAGAGTTTCTCCCTTATATATCATATATTCCAGCCCCCATCACTTCAGTGGCTCTTGGCTGAATTTAGTYCATTTTGTCAATGTGAGTCTTACAGAGAATGAGGAACAGCTCTCATACAAAAGTGGCCACAGCACTTTTATTCTGTAGGATTATGCATGAATCAAACACCAAAAAAAAAAAAGGGTATAACACAACTTAAATGCACTCTCTTCCTTGTTTCTATGAAAGTAATATTGACGCTCCTCACAATACGAGTGGATATTGAAAGATGTCAAGTGAAACTTCTAGGTTACTCACATTTCAACAAATACACAGGAAGAAATAATGCTTCASTAATTGCTGCAGCCAACACTTACTTTGAGGAAAAGCCACGCTGCCGACTGCTTGAGAAAACTCTGTTCACAATCGGTTCTCGAATACTGAAAAGCATCTTTGGATCTTCCGGGCTATAGAGCAGGGAGTCATTGTAATCATTTGTTACTGTAAGTAGAAAAATCAGCCATTAGTTTTTCCCAGAGGAAATTACTCTCAAAAATAGCCATTCTTTCAGGAAAGGAGAGTTTTCCCTACCTAGAGGTGGTACTGAGCCTTACCAGCTGTTAAATAGCCTTCACTTTAGAAAGTATTGAACTGTACAGAAGATCTATTTCAGTCCACTGCATGACTAACATTCATCAGCTCTCTTCAGGTGATTCAGTATTAGCTGTTTGGAATTTTAGAACTGATATTCTCCTGAAGAGATACATATATACAAAAATCTCTATGTGTGTATGTGCACATATATGCATGTAAATATATAAATACATATTAAAAAGTATATTCTTAAACAAAGCTTAAGAGTGTTTTTAAGAAAAGCTAAGTGCAGGAGTACTAAAATAGTGTTTAGTATTAGAGTTCACACAAATTAACTACAAAATTAACTGATCGATTTTCCTATAGTTTAAAGAAAAATCATCATTTTCACTAACCTTTTTGCACTAGTTCTGCGTTCAATGGCAGATTCAAACCTCCATGCTTTTCAGCTGTTGAGCCAAGAAAGAGAGCCTCAATTAGACAGGAGTATCTTCAGATAAAGTTAGCCAGTAGTGCCACATGGTTCACTCACCAATCTTAAGAATCTCTTCAACAGCTTGATTTGCTACCTTGTTAATATTATAGGACCTAAACAGAGAAATAAAAGGTTGCTAAGCAATGCAATTTGAGAAAGGCACTTCCATACAGGTAAGAATTAGAAGGACTAATAATAACAAGAGTATTGTCAAGGGTGGACACTGATATCAGAAAATGCAATAACTACATAACTAATATATATATATATGTATATAAAACATGCATAACCACTGGGATGCAAATCTGTCACTTTGTAAATCTTAGTAATCCATTAAGTGAAATTTCCAGGAAGGTAAAGCATGATAGGGCTGCAGTCTCCCTATTAATAGTTCTCCCTATTAATAATTCTCCTGCATTAAAACCCAAGGATCCTCTTATAGTCCTTGACCACCTACAAGCCAAAGCAGATGCTCAGAAGAAACTGAGATGCAGAATCCAAAGTTATATTTTCCAAACCAGCTGCTTTTTACGCACACCCCTGCCCCCTTTTTCCCCTCCACTCAAAGAAGCATTTGGAAGATTTAAATTTCTCTGGCTAAGGAGGCCTGAACTCCCAAGAGAACTCCCTCAGTCACATCTTTCTGAGGCTGGGTGCTCCGGACACCATAACGTACCCAAGTCACAAAGCCACAGAGTAATTTTAGAGAAGTCAGCAATAAACTGGCTTGTGGCACTGCAGATGCACAATCCTAGGAGATCTGCTCCCTGCTTCTGGGCTCGCTCCGCAAAGAATGTATAAGCGACAGCTAAAATGCACAAACCCAGCTCCAGTCCAAGGAGGTGCGTTCCCAAGCTGCTGAACATGAGGAAAGCTGCCCCAGCAATGTGCCAGTTTCATCCTTGGCAACTGCCATGACCAACTTCTGCTCAGTGAATACAAGATTCTGAAGTACAATGAAAACTAACACCCAGTCACCATAGTGACAGCATGAATATTCATTTCTGCATTTCTGTAAGAGCTTCAGTTTTAGTCCCTGTTAGTCTGCCACATAAATCCAGGCTCCTGTTGTACAACTTTAAATCTTAAACACAGATTTCCCAATGAAACAGGTTCTCACTGTACACTGCTCACACCTCAAAATTACAGTTTTATATCTACATGCAGTGGTGTAGTTTGCAAAAATTGAAGTGAAGAACATTAACCCTTTCATTAGGCCAGTATAATTCCACTTAGCCATGCCCTTTATTTTCGGGAAGTATTTTGGCAAAGAAACTGTGCCTTTTCAATTAAGTTTAAAAGAGAGTTGCAAGGAGAAGGGCCAATGCATGTGCCAGAGAACATTGCTGACAGTTTCCAAGTAYGTGTTCTCATTCCACTTAGAGCTTTGATTTTATAAGTTTTCCAAACTGCCACATCTAAATATTTTTGTTTTAGCTAGCAAGAGTCATTCAAGGAAACTCCTTTACAAGCTCTGCAAGCCAGAGCAGGATCTCTTTCCTTCACCATCCTCAGTCATCTCTATATAGAGCATCCAACTTCCTCCACCTGACAAAGTTASAGCTAAGGCAAGTCTGTCTGCATCCCTCAAGCTCCTTCTTCCTCTCCCCCTCCTCTTCACCCTTGGAAGTGCCCTGCTCTTCTCAAACACCCGAGGCAGCTTTGAATCACACTGAGAATGTCTGGACACAGCTGTGCTGTGCACTGACTGACCATCACCAAAGAAGGCCTCAATATAGATAAGAAACCTAAGCAAAACAGATTCAAAGGCTAATTTATCTGAAACAATCTTTTCTGTCAAAGCAGTGAAGTGAACTTACCATGCTTTTGATCCTGTTCCAGTGCATACATTAAGCCCTGAACTCTTCTGTTTTTCCCATGGACCATCATCAACTGATATCTCATAATAGGAGGCCCTATGAAGCGAGAATTTAAAACTGGGTTTGCAGGACTTAAAGTTCTCCCTGAATGAGACAGAACACACAGCCTTATCAGGCACATAAAAATTTAGAGGGGCTAGTTTCAAATATGGATGACAATTTCACAGGCTCTGTACAGTGTACATCTGATTTGGCAGCCACTTTGGATTCACTGTTGCTTGGCAGGTTTTGTAATTTGCAGCATGAACTTTTAARCAGTCTCTCTGCAGCCACTTTTCACAATAAATTTTGTGCAACAAACACTGCAGTTCATCTGGCAATAACTTGGTATTTAAGAAGGGTTTGCTGGACTTACAAATGAAACTACATATACATTACCTTCCTTGCATAACTGTTGAACTACCACATAAACTGTGCTTATGCTGGGACTGGGTCTCATAAAATTACATCAGGGAACACTAAGAGGTAAACATTCCAGCGTCAGTGAGTAACAGCATGGCTTCAAGCTGAATTCTTGATCACTGCAGTTATTAAAAATCCACTGTGATTCTTCACGAACAGTTTAGCTTGACTGTAGCGAGCAGACTTAGTTTCTCTCCAAGGCAAATTCTTCCTAAAACTCAGTGTCATAAGTCTTCAGGCACAACCACCATCACTTTGTGTGGCATCGTTTATATCTCATGCAATTTCTTACTAAGGTGAGGCCTATGCCAATCAGAACATCTCTTTCCATAAAGTTTCAGTACATCTCAGCATTTACTTATGGAGTGCAGTTGCTAACACTTCTAATGCCTAATCCAACAACACAATATAGCATTCAGATTAATAAAGGCCCTTTCAGCAAAACACGTTCACCGTGTTCAGTCTGACCGAGTCCCACCCTTCTTAGTAAAAGGAGCTTATTGAATTGCTTTGAGTGATGAAAGTTTCAGTCTGGATAGACTGGAAAGAATATATTTCTTGAATATTTCGTGTCAAATGTTTTAGACTTTGTGACCAAGCAATATGCATGCATGTTCAAGATATGGAAAGATAAAAAAAATAGAAACAAATTAGGAACACAGATGTGCAGCTTGATTCAGTTTAAGGCAGTTTTCAAACTAGATACCATTTTGTTTCCTTGCTTTCTCAACTGTCATGCAGAAAAAGCACCTCAGGTTATTATTAAACACAACTTTTGCTAGCAGAAATTTGCTCCTACAGGTACTGTGTTCCTCGGTGCTTGTCAAATCTAGTGGAACCAAAGAGCACAATGTGCTTCCGGCAATTGAGGGTTATTGTAAAGTGTTGGGGAGCAGCTTTGTCTTCCTCTATCACTATGTGTTAGAGAAACTTTTTTAACATATTGATAAAATCAGGTTTGATTTAGTAGAAAGCAAAATTTGTATCTGTTTGAGACTAATTCCTTCTGCCAGTCTGAGGCTGGAGTCCAGATGGAAGATAAAGCACTCATGGAACATTTATACTGTTTCCAGCAGCAACCACAGTGTCCCAGGCACTGTACAAACACAAGAAGAAGTTATACTCTAAAGGCTTAAAAAAATAAAAGAAATTTAAAAAACACACACACACACAGACACCGAGTAAAACAGAAAGGGATTTAAAAGAAAAATACAAGTAAAAGTTCAGCCAAAAGTTCTGACTGAGGATATGCTTTAACTCCTTTCCCACAGCCCCACGTACATTCCCCACATCCTTCGTATTGCTCGATTAGCAGGGATTCCATTATTTTCAGGACAGAAATAACATTCTTAAAGATATGACGGAGGCTGTAATAGCAGGATTTTATATAAACTGGTTTCTTAAAACAAGGAAGGAAGTGTTAGACGTTTCATATAATAACACATTCAGTCAAAGAAATGCCATTACCTCTGTCTCTAATGACAGAAAGAGGGAAAGCAGAAGTTACTAGGATTTCAGCTTTGTCATGTTAAGTTTACTATAAGGTATTTAGGAAAAGATGCAGGACGAGGCAACTGACAGATATCAAAATCACTGAAATCTTTAATCCACTGTAAAGGTAGCAATTGAAGGTATATGATTATGTAAGAACTGGCCAAGAAAGGAGTAAAACAAAGAAAACAGCAGGAAGGAATAATGGAATGAGGAATGGCCAGACAAGAAGGGAAAAAACACTAATTCTTATTGCTGAACCAAATAATATTTGAATATACACTTTGAAACCAGGAGCAACACAATGATTAAGATAAAAAGCACACAGAAAAGATTTCCTGTCACCAATCACCCATTGCAATGTCATTAAAAGATGAACTCTGCCTTGCTGCCATAGTTAGCAATTAAACATACCTGGATGACAGAGATTCCCCAATGAAGACTTCATTGAGTGCTCTCACTGGCAAAAGATGAGGACCAGAAATCTCCGATCCTGCAGGTATTGAACACACTCGTTTCAAATCATGACTCAAACTCACATTTTCCAAAACTATCATCACTCTCTGGAGAATGTAGTCAGCCTCCAGGGACCACACTCTAAGTCTTGATTCTCTGTGTTCGGTTGTCCTCACAGGCTCATTTCTTTTCCTCCCATTCCTTCTGTATCTACTCACAGCCCTTTACCAGAGACCACAAGTATCTGAACTAAGGCCAGTAAAACAATGCTGTGTTTTTGAACATTGTTATTCCTCAAACTTGTGGTTAACCAAACAGGTCGAACTCTTCTTCTGTCAGTGGTCACTTCTGTAGCTTAGTGAAGTTCACTGACAGTGAACAGAAGTTTGGGGTAAATTTCAAAGAGCTACATTACACACCACAGACCAACTTTTAATTAACGGGCTTTAAGATACATTCACATTACACTGAATAAGGTCTTTTCAGTAGGGAAATCCAGGAACAGAAACAAAACCAGGAACTTATTTTCAGTCCACCCTAAATAAAACACTTTCAGTTGTTTTCTTATTTAGGACTTACCCAGGAAGAAATTTTCATTTATGAAACACTCTAATCCTACTCAAAACTCCTCTTGAAGTTAGAATAATTTGTCTCAATGTACAAATAAATTCTACAAGCTATTTATGCAATATTTAAACAGTACCATCTCCCTGTTGAGACATCCCATCCTTCAATAACAAAAAGTTAGCAGCATGACCTTCTACAATATCTATGTGCATATTGCCACTTGCAGGCCGGCCTATCAGTTGAGGAAAACTTACCTCAAATTCATCAAAAGAGCTCATGCACATACACAGTTTTAGTCAGAACCATCTAACTGTGTGGTAAACAGTCTACGGAGTAACCCAACGTCTCCTCAACAATGCTAAGGCACCATTTAAAAAAGCTTAAATATTTTTCCAATAGGTATCATACTTAAAGGAAAAAGTTTAAATTATCTGTTAAAACTAAAAACTATTTCTAAATGTACAGAGCAGAAGCAGCACATAAAAACCTAAGGATATTCCTTGAAAAAGCAAAGCCGTAGAGTTGGAGCCAAGGAGAGTYATTTCTCCCTCACTTCTTAAATATTTCTATCTGTATCAGCCATGTATGGTAACAACCAGACTTCAAATGTTCTCATATTCTTATAAATCTCAATTTCCTAAGTTGTTATGGCAAAGTGGTTACATTCTTGTCACAAGCTTCAACCTACTTTGATCTTGCAATCTTTCATTTATATGAGCCCTGCTGTGTTGCTCCTGGCTTAGCTGCTGTTCATGTAGATCTACAGGGGTTGGGTTAATGCCAGTTCCTTCGAGATACAATCGGATTCGTTGCCGCCACTGCCACCTAAAAAAGAGGGAAATTGGTTTCAGCAGCTGAAGAGTAGCTGAAATGTTCATTGCAAAGCTAGCTAGGATCAAATTCTCGAGGATAAAAGTTTCACTGGTTCACTCTCAAAGTCGAGCATTTTAAGATCAAAAGTTTAAGTACATTGCACATTTCAAGTTTTACAGCTTTCACTATCACTTCTAAATTTAGAAAAACATATTCAAACGTAAATATTTTACATTTCCCAAATTGCCTGTTAACTTTTGTATGTGTGAAATAACACTACAATGGTCAAAAGAATCTACAAACACAACGATTGTAATTTATGAATCAATGCCTGACGACAACAAGTTTGAGAGCAAGAGACTCTTTGGCATTACAGGTATTTACAGACGCCCTTTTTTTGATATTATTTTGCTTATATTTCCAGACACCCAGAAGAATGACTATGTCCATTCCTTTCTCTGTACAGGTCATAAACATCTCATCATCTTAATAATTTCCTAGACTGGCAAATTTTATAGGTTTATGAGTGAAGTTCAAATGAAGAAACAAAAGGATATAAAGATCATTCCTTCCTAAGCCGTCACGTTATTTAGATTTTTGTTTTTCCTAGAGTTCAATGCACTTCTCCTATGATTTAGAGGCTCTAATAAACAAAGCTCTATTAAACAAAGCTGTAGTAGCGGTTCTGATTTAGAAAGCAAATCATAATGAAATATTTTGAACATAGCCTTCCCAGTTCACGCTGCTGACCTTTGGGTCACAGTAACCAGATTAACTTTTTCCTGAAATAACAGTACACATGATTTAGGCTGGATGAAAATCCATTACTACTTTATCTCCTGAATTAGGACAACATCTTGCCTTACTGCAAAGTTAATCTTCAAATATATACCATAACTTCACTTAATCTTTTCTAAACTGAGCAAACTCAATTCTCTCCCATGCACTTTAAGGCATCAAATTTCCTAGAGCTTCTTCAGTGAGGAACGAGGGGAATTTCCCAGGAGTTTTGCTGCTGAAACTTCACTATCCCAGACTTCACATAGTGTACAATTTGAGGCCTTCCAGCAGCACTTCATGTATACAACACATGTTTATAGAAAGCTGTTATGATGTTTGCTTTTCTGCAGTGCTTACACTAACATACATTTCATTTTTAATCCCTTGTATTTCAAGATACTTTTGAGGAACATCTGCCTGCCATTTTCATCGTGTATTTATGCATCTGATTCCTGTAATCAGTAAATGCAATCCTTTGCACATGTCTTGACTGAACTGCAAAGCATTTATTTCAATGCCTTAATCTATTTGGATTCTAATCCTCTTCTAAATTTTGTAGTTCATGCTACCTTGATCTTTAGAAAGTGTCCTATCTATTCACTCTTTCATCCCGAGTTGATGACTTTCATATCTATTCACTCATTCAGATGATGAGAGAAAGTCCTGGAAGGTACAAAGCCAAGGGACATCCTAGGAGAGCTGCTTTGAATGCACCTTTAGTGTAACTAGCTCCAAGGCAGACAGCTTGCCATAGATACTACTACACTAGCTTCCTTACAGCACTCACACTAAAATGCATTCAAACTCCCGTAAAATAAGCATATAGGACAACTACTCTTGTGAGGTAGTGTTATACTCTTTAGTATACTCTTTAGCAAACATTGTTTGCTTAGTAAATCTTGATGTTGATAGTTAAACAGGAGTGCAAGTGAAGTGTTTTACACGGGCTTGCCGCCAAAAAGGTGACTGCCACATACCTGGACTATGAAGCCAACCCCTTTTGGGGTCACTGACACCCCCCGGTCCTTCAGGGATTCTGACAAAACTCTCCGTTTCATCCAGTTACCCATCTACTTAAACAGCTTCCTTAGCCCCAATAAATCTGAAAACTTCCCAATCATCAAAAATCCATCCTCTTCCTATTGTGCCCTGGCATTTTCATTACTAGGAAGATTAATGCTGGACTCTGAGAAAGCCATGTTCCCAGGGAAAGGGACCTAGTCAGCCCAGGGCTCCAGTGGCTGTATCGTTTGCCATTTTCTTCCCCCATTGCTTACCATTTTTCTGATGTTCTACTACTGTGTTTGCAGACTTCTCCTTGTTATCCTCGGTCACTGGTATTTCAAAAATCAAAGCATGGAATAAATCCACTCTTACACATGTATACCATTAYATTCCTTGTCAGGAATTTGCTTGAATTTTCACACACTTTCAATCTCTGCTTGCTAAAGGCAAAGTCATGAGTTCAAGTCCCTGCAACCATATTCCAATTAAGCTTGAACGTAATCATTTACTTCACAGCAATGCTAGTTTTTCGCAATTCCTCTCTTCCCTTAAAATTTATTTTCCTTTGCATCCTTTCAATCTCCATTCCAAGTGAGTTTCAGACTGCTGTACTGTAACCCATTTCTGCCGCTGTACTCCTTGTTCCTCCCCTAAGAATCACAAATTGCTGCTTCTGTTGTTCAGATCGCTGTTCTTTCAGTCTAATTCCTTCCTGTTGTGGCCAGGGGAAATTGGGACTGAACTGTTAGCTCCTTAAAGTCACATCTCAAAATGTGTTCAGCTGTGAAACAAATATTCCAGCCTAAATGTTCCAGAAGATGTTTTAATTGGATGCAATTTTGTTCTGTTGGATGCAGTTTTGTTCTGTTATTTGAGGAAAATTAAAGTATTGCTGGTATAACTYGAGTATTTTGAATTTCTCATCAACTTTCTGGCTCAATACTGAAATAGTAGCTTTAGCTGGGCTTTCACACCCTGACCTCCAAGTCTTCTACCTTCTACCAATCAGTTATTTTAAGTCCTGTAATAACCTGYTTCTAGAGGCCTCCTCTGCTGTCACATAAAAGTACACTTCAATCAAATTACAAATTYGGTAATTCAAAAAAGTCAGTCAACTGCTGAACAGTCAACTGTGGACAGTCAACAGTCAACTGTTCAGACCGTTTCATGCTTTGTATTCCAATCCCACTCTCAAACACAARTCTCTTCTTCAATACGGTAAACATCTACAGAATTCACAGTTTGAAGTATCAAGATTTTACTTAGCATCCTTAAAAACTGCACATTAATTCTGTGATATTAAAAAAAAAAAAAAAAAAGCAGCAATGAATCCTACCTGAACTCACCACGATAAAGCTTCTGAAGTGCTTCAGGGAAACAGTGTGTGTATCTCACGGGCAAGCATAAGTGGCCCTCTGATCTGGAAGCAAAAAAGGAAGACAATGAAAATGACAGTGTAATTTCTGAAATTTCATCCCTTAAATAAACAAAAACTCTTTTAGTTAGTAAACCTAGACTTCTACCTTCATGATACTGAAGTTGGTGATAAGATATAGGTAAGGGACATCCCTAAGGTAAAAGAAATCTCATGCACAAGCCAGAAAACCAAACACGAGTCCCTTTTCATGAGTGATATTTGATAACTTCAAGGCAGTTGTTATTTAAACTCTGCTATTCAGGTCTGATACTGATAGAGTGTCTATTCACAGCATTTGAAAAGTTTTGGAAGAAGAACAGGGTCTGGAAAGAACTAAATCCTTTTGGCCATAATTTTCATCAGCTCAGATTACATTAATATGCAACATAGAAAGCAAAAACCCAAATCTAGAAGTCTCAACAGATAGAGCTTTGGTGCATTCAGAGCTTTCACTTGCCATCCATTTGAAGGTTATGCCCACCAGGCAGTGCTAATRCACCCACCTGCTCAGATCAGTCTAATTGCTAGGTGAATGCAATGGTGCTGAGTTATAAGAGGACAACTAAACGCCACTGACTGGCTGAGGAGACAGTGTCCTCTAAGTATGAGGTGATTTACACACAGGAATAAGGGGTGAGAAAAAATAGACAAACCACACACACACAAATCCACGTATTTGTTGAGGTCCTATCACATTTCAAATAGGATTTACTTTCTTAATAAACAAATTAAGATTCTGAATATCTAAGCACCAGTTTAAAATAAAGTAATAATAAAAAATAATACAGAGTTCTGCATTTCCCAGTCACTATTCTGTACTGCCATTTCTAGCTTGGAGCTTTTGGTTAGGAATACAAGTTGACTGGCTCTGAGTGCCCTTACACTTGCCTGTGAACACAGCTGTGGCAGTTCAGGAAGTTATTGCTCATCTAATACTTTTYAATGTCCTTTTAGATGAGACAGAATAACTCATTGTGTACATTTTTGTAATAACAAACAAACAAACAAAAAAATACGTTCACTTTATTTCTATARTCTACTAGAAGACAACATGTATGTTTGGCAACAAATATGTTGCCAAGTGCCAGCAGAGGAGACAAAATGCCACCTGAGGGGAAGTAATAGCCCCTTGCAGGTCTGTTCGTAACCAGAAYACAATCCTATGCTATTAATCCTATATAATTCTATACAATTTTAACCTATTAGACATACTCCAAACTTTGGTCCAAGAGCACCTACTTGTTCTGGGCTAGAGTGACCAGGACCAAGAAAGAACACTCTGAAAAATCTTTCTGGGAATATCTGCTTAACCTACACAATCATCTACAGCATTTAACAACTTATACTACTGCTTCACAAAATTCCTGCTATTTAGATAACTATACAGTCAACCTCCTTTCAAACAGGATATTATTTTGTTTGGAGCTTCCTTAAATTCTCATGGTGCCAATGTTTACTGGTACTGGATTTTATAGAGAAAAAGGTTGTTTGCGACGATGAGAAATAAGTCACTTCAGTTTAAGAGGACTTCTCAGTTTAGAGAGCAGTTTCATCTAACACTACCAAATCTTCCTACTCAAGGCCTTTTCTTCATACATTATCTTAAAAAATATATATATATATGGTACTTGATATGAAATATGGCTTTCCCAAATGTCTTAAGGAACTGTATATCTTACCTTTCAGGATCAGTATTTACTCCAATAACTGGTTTAAATTTATCAAAGACCTTACTGGCTGCCAGCAACATTGTACCATCACCTACAGGAAAAAAGAAAAAATGGCAAGAAAAATAAAGAGCTAGTTTCACTTAACATTTTAGCATTCCCTATAAAATCACCCATGAATTGAAGCATTATTATTACAAACTTTGTGTCAACAACTGATTAGGCAAGTTGCACAAAAAATAAAATGGAACAAGAAACAACTTAAAACTGAATTGTGACAACCAAATTAAAGATGACCAAACGATTGAAAAAATATTACTCCTCCAACAGCTATACATATCCAAATGAATTTGGCAGAAGCAAGTTTCAGAGCAAGTAAGAGATTCTTTTTAACAGAAAAAGTTTTGTAAATACTATCAGGAGTAAGTCAATACTACCCAATCTCCACAAGGGACAGGAAACAGCGTAATATCAGATCTTACTGTGAATCACATGAAAAAAAAAAGTAGTTTTAATTCTGTTTCAGTTTTTTTTTCCAATCAGGCATAACTTAAAGGTGTTATTTGGTTCCAAATACACATAACAAAAAAAAAGTTTAAATAGAAATCTAGGTCTCCCTAATTTCTTCAGATATGTAGCAGTCTCTTTCCTGTCCCTTAACCAGTAGGGGCAAACAATCTGAAACAGTCTTTACACCAAGATGTGGGTTCTGAAAAACTTAAGATGGTGTTCTTTAGAACATTACTATTTCYAAGTTGCTGGCTTCATAACTATGCCTAGATGCTGCTACAGCCAGCTTGGCAGAGGAAACATTCATACCTCCATTTAATTTCCAGCTTTGAAGAGTGTGCTGAATCTACACAAGTGTATTAGGGTCCTTCAGGTATGAACACACATCCCTTGCTACAATTTCCAAGGGTCATMAACACTAGCCAAGAGCAAGGTCAACTCCAGAGGACAAGGGCAAGGCAGAATGGAGCTGCAGYTCATTGCTTTTGTGAATATGAATCATATCCCAGGAACACATTTCAGTAGTTGCAGCAAAACAAAACAAATGAACAGCAAAACATAAAATAAAGCTGAAGCAGCTGCCACTCAATGTTATGAAACAAAAATAAGGTTTAAATTTCTCTACTGGCCATTTAAAAAGCTCCAAGCAGCTACGAAGCCTGTTCCATCTGCACAGWCTTTCCGTACCATCCAACTAGATATTCCTGTCATTGCAATAAGCGTGAAAGAAAAAAAGAAAAAAAAAGTAGGAAAGGGACGGAAAAAATAAAGTGCTAGTTTTACCTCACATTTGCAACCAGAGAGTACAGTTTAGGGCTATGTGCATTCATACGACAACAAATCGTTAGTCCTGTTYAGCTGAGAACTATAGTTGACTTCAGTTGTCTGACACAAGACAATACTAAGTTTTTCCACAGTGAGACAGCCTCAGCAATCACCTAATGCTACAAATACTGGAGGAGGAGAGGATGGTCACAGTCATCGCATTTTTTTTCCTGTTTTTTGACAAATGCATCAGCAATTTATTTCCAAAATGAGCATATCTCCAGATGCTTCACACACKGCAAACTTTTGATAGTTTATCTATGAAAACATACTGAAAAAAAACACTTCCCCACCATAAAGTCATACCTCCTGCTGATATAACAGCATCTGCCCACCGAACTGTCTCTTCATTATATTCACGACGTTTAACAAGACGGACTTCTATCCTCTCGTTCCTATAAAGTGCAGGAAAAAGCCTGAATGTGTCCTATATTGTTCCTTGTCAAATCCTTCTGAAAAACTGACATGTAATTATAGACTAATTACAGTGGTATTTAGCTTATGAGCATTTGATTCTCACACAAGTCCTCCACATCATTTTCATTTGTTTTCAAGGTGTGTTAGTTAAGTGCACAGAGCTATTACACATCGCGATGGCTTCAGGAATGACTGTCCATCCACATCAGCTTTCAGTATTCCTATTTCATTAGCATTCATCACACAGAGCTCGTTCCATTGCTTAACACGCCCCATGGGTATTYAGGCCGTGCTCGAAATCCTCGGCCCCCTCCAGCCTTACCGTAAGCTCTCCACAACATGCTCCACGTTTTTGGTGTGAACGCGATGTCGTTCCAGGAGACCAGCGTAGTTAGACCCCTTCAAGGCAAGCTGCAAGACAGAAGTTGATTTTCAGGTAATTAGCCACTATTACCTGGTCACTCTTAGCTTGCATGGAGGTAAAGCCTGATTTGAAAATAGAAAAAAAAAAGAGGGTATTAAAGGAAAGGGTGCCCTTAAGCTTCAAGATTAATAAATACATCCACAGTGAATGAGACCTTGCTTCAAGCAGTAGCCTTGCCTAGATGGCCTCCCAAAGTTCCTCCTAACCTGAATAATTCTATCATTATACAGACACTGTTTCCCTTTAACAAATAATAAAAGCTCAAGATATACTTATCAGTGCAGAAACAAAAGTTTGCACAGAGTTAGTGCAAAGCAGTTGTTCTGCACCAGAAACTTTGAACAGGCATCACCCACCAGCAATCCATTCATGTCTACTCAAGGTCGCCGGCCCTCCCAAGAGCCAGCGGTGCCACATGGCCACATCTCATCCCAGTGCCACAGCACGCAGCTCCGCAGCACAGGGCAGGAGAGCCCATGATACGAGGGTTCCAGTTAATTGCAACCTAATACAGGCTTAGGAATATCACATCTGTCTGGTCACTCACCGATGTCAGGAAATTCAACCACAAGACAAATGTAAAGACTGACTCACAGCTGAAGAAACTACAGAAAATACAATGAAAGCAGCSAGGCTAGAATTGAAGCTTTGTCCTTCTCAACATCTGCTTAGAATTGGCATTAACAGAAGTGTCATCTTTAGCTGGTTTTAGAGCTGGGATCAGGAAATCCCCCAGCAGAAAGGGCTCCCAGGCTTGCTTTGCTTGTGTGCAGATATTCCAGTGGTGGTACATGGGCAATGCACAGTGTGGCACAGGGAACATAAAAGGTGCTTCTGGGTTAATGGGGGGAGGAAAAAGGGTACCCAAAACGAGGGTGAGCTATGATACTGCCCTTGGCTGGGTCTGCTGCCAGCCTCGTACGCCCCATTTAGAGAAGGAAGCAGGTAACCACCACCTGCAGTTCAAATCTGTCCCCAAATACTGTACCTGTGGTTCACTATCGCCAGAAGCAACAGGAAATCTACAGCACAACCTCTGCATARCAACAACAGTGTTATGAAATTCAGCTCTCATTCATACCTCTTCTAGAAATATCCGCTGTGACTCAAACTCTTGCCAAAAAGCACCTGATGAGCAAGTTGCTGTTACTGTGCGTTTTCCAAACTATTTCTGCAGACCATTACTTCCACACAACAAAAACTGAAATCCCTTACAATTTTCATTTATTTACCTCATTTGGCAGCATATTCCCTTTCACTTTGTTCAAAGAGAGCTTTTTAATCTCAGAACAKTGACTTAGAGCAATGGTTCTCTGCATGATCACTTCCACGCATTCGAGCTATGAGCTTCAGTGGTAGCTCATTTCAACTCTAACATTTCAATGGTGTTATTAACAAGCAGAGAGATGAATAATTCATTGCTGTATAAGAAAATCTGTTCTGTAACTTGCATTTGTCTTGGATGTGCTAAATTATTTCAGTAACAGCTTCAGAGGGAAGAGAAGAGAGATTAAATAAGCTTTCAGCATCCAGATGACTGGCTGAAATGAACTTCTATAGTACACCACTGCTCTTGCAGCTTTCAGCACTGGTATTGTGCATGCAGAGGTCCCTTCTTTGAATTTAATTCTAGAAGAATAAGCAGGTAACAAAATAAAAGCTAGGGGCTCAACTTTCAGTGGATAAGATGCATCTTTGGGATTACTGAATCACGCTCATTTGCAGAAGGCTTGGGAAATTAAAGCAGCCTGCATGTCTCCAACYCTATCCTCCTAGAGTTCAGTGACCAAGAACTCCCAACTTCTAGTTTATTTAAGAACTCAGAGAGCGACACGCTGTCTGAGCCCAACCACCAAGGATGCTCAAGTTCACTGGTACAGTACAAGGAACCTAAGGTAACACGAGACATGACAACTTAGACTATGACACGCTAAACTGCAGACTGTCTTTCCAGATACAGGCTGAGGAACAAAACGCCAGCCCTACAGAGCTGAGGAACTTCAAACTGGAGTAGCTTGGAGTTTAGGAATGTTAAGCAGTTGCAAAAAGTGAGGTAAGGGAAATATGTAGGTCTGAGCCCTGCTCTACAGATAGATAATTTCTTCCCCTGGTTATCAGTAAAGAGCAGTAAGATAAGACCCTTACAGTAAGATACACCCTTAAAGGCGAAACACATCAAGCTCTTGGTTTCCCTGACAAATAAGGAACACTGACTCAAAACTTCAGCAACAAAAGCCTCAGGACTTTGGTAATCTATAGTAATTTAGTAATTACATTTATAAGCATGCATGTAATTTTCCCATCTTTACTTCTAGTTAAGCTAAATCAATATTGTTGTGTTGCTAAAACAAATCCACTTTTCCCTCATAAAAAAGGCAGTAAGTAAGTTCTTCACTTCTCCTCACTGGTTAAGACTTCCAATCACATACTAAGATTTCTTGTTTTGTATGACAAATAATCCACAAAAATTAGGTGGGATTAAAGCCTCATTCAGCTCCTGGATTTTAGAAGGCGAAGTGCAAATGAAAAGGGTGAAAGTAAGAAACAAAGCAGCCAGTTTCTTCAGTAGAAATCTGCAGCTAGAGGCATTTTAGAAGAAAATGCTTTCTCTAGAAGAACGTCTGCTAGAACAGTCCCAGGAACGCTGAACCACCTGAATCTTTAGTGGCTCTTCTAGTATCAGCTAGAAGCAATAGAAGGGTTCAACTTCATGGTTTGACACTACAGGTGCCCAGGCTGGACATGACACAAACACGGATTACAAGTGTACGATACTACTGCCACCCTTGATTTCTGCTAACTAAAGAGCAGTAGTCCAGCAGAAAGAATCACCAGGACATAAACAAGCTTCAGTTGCTGTATTTATACTAATGATCCTCAAGTACTGCAGATCCCAGCTGAAGTTATTTGACTTTAACTTCTCAAAGGTGAAGCGTGTTCCCCTGCTTGTCTCCGCACTAGAAATACTGAAGACAGGGTGTGATCTTCCTGATGTTGCTAGARAAAACAGGGTGGTGGGACCAGCAAACAGATGCTTTGCAGAGGGGGTGCTTGGCACTGAGTCAACCTGAGAGGCTCCAGGTTGTAGGAAAACTCAGAGTTTGGAAGGAACCTCTGGAGATCACCCAGTGGGATCCAAGCCCAKTGCACAAGCAGGGYCKCCTAGAGCACAYTGCAGCGCAGCACAAAGGCTAATAGAGCTTGCAGCAAATTGTGGTGTTAACTACCAACAAATCAGTAACTGCTCCCTGCATTAATAGGTTTCTTAAAAAACAGTGCAGTCCAGGCTATAGTATCGCTAAGTTCTCATTAATTCAGCAGRACAATAACATTAAAATGGCACAAATTGCAACTGGCTAAGTACATAAAAACATTATTAAAGATATTTCCTATTCTTCTTGGCTTTGAATCAGATGCTTAGTGAGACAGTCCATAAAGTTTAACTTAAAAGTACTCTGAAGTACTTTCACACTTACAGTTGCATTTATTTGCTTCGTAGGATTTAGCACGTTTGAATGGAGTGGTGGAATAACAAGCCATTATAGAAAAAGGAACTGACGGCATTATGTGTTTCCAACATTTTCCAGACTCCCCCCGTGACAGGAAAAAAAAGGTGTCATAAATACTCTTTAGTTGCCTCTCTTCTTATCCAGCACTAAGGCAATTCTATCAATTTTTGAAGATAAAAATAAGCACTAGATCATCTCTAGAGGTCCTTTCCAACCTCAACTATTCTGTGATTTGGATGTACTTATGAGAGTGGCTAATATTTAACTTGCAGCTGGTAACTGCAAATATTAGTAATTCCATAGTCACTTTAAATCTCACAAAAAGAAAGAAAATAGCTTCCCACCTGAATCRGTGTGTATCCTATACTAACATTTGACCTGGCACTCCCAAGGAGACATGTGACTTATCTTCTGAACAMCTGCACACATCTGTTCAGCCCAAACCTGTAAGGCTTCCCAAATCTCAGGCATTGCCTTAAAGTTTAACGTTTTACGTTCCAGACAGCCAGTGTCTGGAATTCTGAAGATCCATGATGGATCACAATAACATGCTCGGCTGCTGGCACAGGCTCCCTTACACAGCGACACCACAGACGAGCTCGGGATTTAGCTCAAGCCACCGCAACAGGACAGTCCCCACCAGCTCCTCCACCTTCTGGGCTAGCGTAACCTGCTTCAAGAGATGAGTCACACTCTTCCCAGGTGCTTTCACTGCTACTTTGACTCTCAGGGGCACCTCAGCCAGTCTTTCACAGGAGCCTCAAATCCCATTTTGTTATCCGTATTTCCCTTTTGCACAACTCCCAAACCAAATTCATGACTGCTTCAGGTCATGACCACGAGGATRAAGCCCTCATCACCCTGGGCAGCAGCAGAGGGGTCACTGCCCAGTTAGGAGCAGTGTCCGGCCTCAGCTCTTTTGGGTAGCAAGAGCCCCAACTTCTAAAGCCACAGAAGAGAAGACATGGGGAACAGAGGGCAGCTCACCTTGGGAATTAGAAAATACTATACACCAAACCTATCCCAAAAATGCCACTTAGAAGGGGAAGGAGAGTCTGTACATTTCACACTAATAAGTGGTCTTGGTTAGTAAGAGATTAATTCACTACTAGAGTCTTTGTAGCAACATTAGGCTGGGCTATTCCAATTTAAAATTTCTTAGCCACATATGCAGTCCAAAATAAAGGCTGTAGAAGACATCCAGAAGRCTCCAGAAGATTTATACTATCTAGGGAATATGAGCAGCAATAGTAAATAGTTATGTGAAAAAATACAGATATACAATGTTTTCAAAGTGCTTGGAAGCATGAGAAAACAGAATTTCTATGAATACCAGTGCCTTTCCTTGAAAGGCTTCTTGAAGTTGAAAACTTTCCTTTCTGGATAAAGAAAAATGCAAAATTGCAAACAGATCAAGTTAGGCATTTGCAGTATCTTCTAGATTCCAGTCACATTTATTACACGGCACGTTCCCTGAC